GCCCCCTCGTGCCTCCGCAGTTCCTATCAGGCTCATGGTTATGTGGGTCCTCTCCAGCAGCTTTTCTGTTGGTTTTTACCAATGATTTGTCTTTATTTTAGTTGTAATTCCAGTTTGGTCTTGGTAGATGGTCAGTGTAGCTTCCATTTACTCCGCCGCCATTTTGGAATCCCAGATAATTTCTTTCTTAAAGTCAACTGTGCCATATAATCACAATTATAATATAAACAATGATATATCATGGAGGTAAACTTCATCATCTTCAGTTATCAGGATAAAAGTGGGCCATCTCAGAATTCTGCCTGATGCATTAGAGTAATAGAGTGTGGTCCTTCACAAGAACGCAAAAGCACATCAGAAGACAAGTGGAACTATTGATAGCCTGTGTAATGTAGTGTAAGCTAAGATGGGTCTTCAAATGTGTAGAGAAAATATGGGTTTAATTAATAGTTTGGGAACAAATGAACATCAATGTGAGAAAACAAAATTCCTGTATCAAACTATATACTACTCCAGATGGATTAAAATCTTAAATGTAAAAAAGTAAAATGGTAGAAGTACTGCAAGAAAATTAGTATCTTATAATTGGGATGGAAGTGTCTTCATAAGAAAAACAATGCCTGAGATAAAACTCAAACAAAAGAAATCACTAATTAAATAATAAATATCTGAATAGCAAATGATAAAGCTAAAATATAAATGACAAATTACAAAAATTGTTTGAACATATATAGAAAAAGCATTATCATCCCAAATAAATGGAAAAACATCACAAAGAAATAATCCAAAGACATGAAGAAAATATTTCAAGACATAAATGCATAGACAAGTGGTTCAAGCTCACTAAAAACCAAATCAATATAAATCACACAACATAACGTTTTCACCTATCACTGTCCAAATTACAATGATTGGCACTCTCCATGTTGACAAGGCTGCCATACAACTGCTGATAAGATTTCAAATTCGTTCAAATGTCCTGGACAATCTGACGATGTATATCAAAAAGTAAAAGTATTCCTTTCATACTATTCCACTTCTGGGACTTTTTAATCTGTCAAATAAGGATGTCTATACATGTATGCTCAATATGTGTGTTTAGCAAGAGGGAAAATATAAACCTAAATATTCACCATTAGGAAATGAAACAAGTTACACATTGAAATTCTGCCAACATTAAAAATAACAATACTTTCATATATTTTTATGGAAAGTAATCTATATTAAATGAAAGAAAGTAGGTCCAAAGACTATGAGTCGTTTGATTGCATTTACATTTTTTAAATATTTTTAAAGTCCATTTAAAAGAACCCTAGCCCTGGCCAGTTTGGCTCAGTGGTTAAAGCGTCGGCCTGTGGGCCAGAGAGACGTGGGTTCAGTTCCCACTAAGGGCACATACCTTGGTTGCGGTTTGTCCCTGGCCCCGGTTGGGGTCATGTGGGTGGCAACCACTCAATGTGTCTCTCTCACATCGATGTTTCTCTCTCTTTCTCCCTCTCTCCCTCCCGCTCAATCTGAAGATAAATGCAAAAAATGAAAAATGTCCTCCAGTGAGGATAAAAAACAAACAAAAAACAAACTCTAAAACTATACACAAAACTGACAATAGTACTTATTTCTGGGATGTACAATTGTTACATGGGTGTGTCTGGGGAGGGTTGTGGAGACAGATCATGACTAGGAGAGTGGGAGATACTTTTGCATTTCAAACTTTAAAAAAAAAAAAGGATACATATTGATTTTTGTAACACAATATGTCTTCTTTTTGGATGAAAATATCCAAAGATAATCCTTGTGGTGAATGGATCAAGCAAGTGAAACTCAATTTTGACCATTTGGTAGTTTTCCTTCTAAGTTATCACTAACACACTGATGGGATAAAAGATACTTGAAAACCACATCATATAAAGGCAAAGCACTTACTGAATTGATTGAAACAATGTGTGAAAGATTAAAAATGTCGTATCAGAGGCAAAGTGACACCATTTGAAACTGTGCTTTTCATTTTATCAATTTAAAAGTACCCCAGTGCACTGTTGGCGGAATGCAAACTGGTACAGCCACAATAGAAAACAGTATGGAGTTTCCACAAAAAAATTAAAAATGGAACTGCCTTTTGACCCAGCAATTCCACTTCTGACAATATATCCTAAGAATCCTGAAACACCAACTTGAAAGAATATATGCATCCTTATGTTCATCGCAGAGCTATTTACAATAGCCAAGATCTGGAAACAGCCCAAGTGTCTATTAATAGATGAGTAGATCAAACAGCTGTGGTACATTTACATGGTGGAATACTATGCAGCTATGAAAAATAAAAAGGAAGGAGTTCTTACCTTTTGTGACTGACTGGAGGGACCTAGAGATTATTATGCTAAGTGAAATAAGCCAGTTAGAGGAAGACACATAACATATGAGCTCACTTATATGTGGAATCTAATGAACAAAATAAATCAAGGGACAAAACAGAAACAGAAGCATGGACACATGGAGCAGACTGACAGCTGTCAGAGGGAAGGGGTTTGAGGTGGGGGTGGGGGACTGGATGAAAGAAGGTGAAGGGATTAGCTAAAGAACATATATGCATAACCCACAGACACAGACGACAGTGTGGTAATAAGGGACAGGGGCTGGGTGGGGTGGAGGTGGGCAAAAAGGGAAAAATGGGGACATCTGTAATCATGTCAACAATAAAAATAAAGTTAAAAAAATAAAATTATATGATGATGCTTTCATGATAGAAAGGGCCCACTGCTAAACAGTGTAGAAACAGTTAAGACATAATCCTAGCTTTCAGGAAATTCATTTTGTCAAGACATGTAGATCAAGAGACATGCTTTATAAAAGCTTCAAATAATATAGTAAAAAAAACAAACAAAAAAAAGAATAAAAACAATTATGACTACAAAGCAAGCACATTTAGCCCACTTTAGTGGATCTCACACACAAAAATTGTGAGAATACAAACTGTTTAAATTATCTTTTTATTCCAAATGATTAATGAGGTGCCTTGCAAAGTTGGTGATAGGTAGAAATTAAAGAGGGTAAGCAGTAGTGTCTAGGCTAGAGGATTTTAATGAGCAAATGGTGAGAGAGAAAAGATAAAACTTAGGTTAGCATAGCATGTGACAAATATTTAGAACAATATATGGAGGATATCATCATCAGAGGTTTTGTATCAGATAAAAACAAAACAGTCATTGTAGACTAGATCTGTTTTTCAAAGAGAACCACATTGTGAAAAACATGAATAAACAGTTTCAAGTATGCTCTTTTCTTCAAAGATGCAAATTATTTTCAATATGAATGACAGACGGAAGCGCCAACTGAAAAGATACAAACAACATGTGGAAATTTGCTTATTTTGCTAAGCCACAATGTATTTTTCCATGAATAGTATACATCTGAAGCTTCCTTGGTATTTACGAAGAGGAAATTGTTTCACTAAAGATTAATTTTCTACATTAAGTCAGACATTATTACAATGATGTATTCAAAAAAAATTTAAGGAAAGATTTATAAAACATTTTCTGGGCATGCCACTATCTTAAACCCTGAGAATGTGACTTGTTTTAAACTTTTTCCACTCATCCTTCCTTTAAACCAGTGCTGTCCAAAAGAAAGATAATGTGAGCCTCATGTGTAAATTTAAACTGGTAAGAACAGACACTACATCTGATCTTAGCCAAAAGGCCGAGAAGCAATTCATGTGTAATTTAAAATCTTTTAGCAAAAAAATAAAAAAGCCAAAAAAAATAAAATCTGAATGAATTTCAACATTGAACTCACTATACTAAAAACATTTTAATTTCACCAATAAAATTGAGATATTTTGTATTCTTTCTTTGTACACCTCGAAAATCTGGTGTGCATTTTATAGTGACACCACATCTCAAGAGGTCAATACTCACATGAAACTAAATCGTATGGAAAGACACTCGTTTGCACCTTTTCACTGTCTGGTAGATCTACTGACAGACTGACATCAGAAACTCTGCATTCTATCATTACAGATTTGGATCAAGATATACTACCAGCAGAATTTATACATTAATGGAAATTAAACAATGTGAGACCAGCACTATTTCTGATACTACACAAATGGCAACAAAAATGGCTGCCATTTGGAGTGGATTTAAACCATGCATCCATCTACAGAAACTAACCACACTTTGAGTGGAAACTCTTTGTAGCACTTATCACAATTACTAATTTCTGTATGTATGTTCCTACTTTTATTTTATGTGCACCTGTTTATCTGAATATTCCATCAGGGAAGGACCTGTGTCTCCTTTGTTTGCCATTAGATCCCTGGAACTTAGGAGAATGTGTTACACATAGCAAATGGTCAGATACCTGTTAAATGAGTGAATACTGCCATGCATTGATTATCAGCCTGAATTAGCCTATCATTTCATCACTCGGTTTTCCAACAGTTAAGGCACAGCGGACATTTTCTCAGTGAAAACAGTGAACAGCTGTTTTCTCTTCAGAACAATTTCTAGCAGCCTAACCCAACTATTACAATGTAATTGGGAAATTTCCCACTAATCAGAATCACATTTATCCTGTCTTCATCAGATCTTGCTTCTCCAACACAACAAAAACAAATTGGTTGAGGCACAAATGAGTAAGTACAAGAGAACAGCTCTCCAACCTCTCAGCCTTAGAGAAAAACAAAAATGCCACCACACAGGCACTTGGAGGGAAGGAATAGGGAATACTGTTTCCTACCCCAGTCAGCAGTGACATGGTTCCTAGGAGCGCTGGAGATTTCAGATTTCCTGTGGAAAACGCTAAGTTAAACAACAGAAACACTGTAGTAGCCACGATAAAGAAAAATCCGAAACTGGTGAATGCCTTGAATTTTTAAAAAAGCAAAAAAAGGTCTGTTATTTCATGATAAAGGTGAAACCCATTTTTTAAAAAAAGCAATAAGCCAAAAACCCAAGCTCAAATCATTCTTTAATGATATAACACTGCATTATAAAGTCCTTTTGCTAGTACTGAGATGGTAGAAGACATTTTGTTTAGAATGAAAACACTGGAAGAATGCAAGAGTTGAGACTGAGGGCAGCTCTTACCTTTCATTCTGTATACAGAAATGTGGCACTTTAACAATATTGGCATTTCCCAAATGATCAGTTTTGCAATTTTAACACCAAACATTCAACTCCTAATCAGCAGTTTCCTGCTTTGAGAACTTTCATAGCATTCAAACATTTCATCTACTATGTACAGTTCAATCTTTTAAAAACTGAATCATATTTACAAAGTACTATAGAAAATCATTTTTTCCTTTTCTTTTTAGGAGAGTGTTCCAAAAGTGGGGTAAATTCAGCCTCCTCACTGTGCTTTCTTTTCTTTCTATGGTCACTTTGGTAACCACTGGAGTCACTGCCTTGAAAAACAGGGTCCTGGTTGTGATCTTCCTGGTGCTGCTGCTTCTTCTTCTTCTTCTTTGGCTCTTCCTCCCGGAGGCCATTCATGTTGTTATTAATCTGCAGGTCTGTCTCTTCCTTCATGGCGACAGCTGCAAATTCTGCTAGCTCAGTGGTACCACCTTCTTCTGCTTCATCTGGCTCTGGGTCTTTCTTCTTCCTCTTCTTCTTCTTCTTTGGCTCTTCCTCCCGGAGGCCATTCATGTTGTTATTAATCTGCAGATCTGTCTCTTCCTTCATGGTGACAGCTGCAAATTCTGCTAGCTCAGTGGTACCACCTTCTGCTTCATCTGGCTCTGGGTCTTTCTTCTTTTTCTTCTTCTTCTTCTTTGGCTCTTCCTCCCGGAAGCCATTCATGTTGTTATTAATCTGCAGGTCTGTCTCTTCTTTCATGGTGACAGCTGCGAATTCTGCTAGCTCAGTGGTACCACCTTCTGTTTCATCTGGCTCTGGGTCTTTCTTCTTTTTCTTCTTCTTCTTTGGAGGTTTGTCAACAGCTTCTTCAGCAGTGCCAGTTTCTGTTACTTCTTCAGAAACTGCAGAACACTTGGTTTTTAAACTATAAATGAACAGTTAAAAAAATTACACAGCAATAAGCAAAAAATAAAGAAATAAAAAGCGATCAAGAATATCCCAGCCTGCTACAATTTTTCTAAATGAGATCAGTATGCGATACATAACTATGGTATAAATTTCAAATATTCTTTCCTATTACCCCTCAGCCCTTTGAAATGTTAAAATTACTGTTTCTCCACTACTTCTCCCAAACTGTTTTCACACATAAGAATGACATAAAAAGTTGTCAAAACATGGCTTCTAAATTTTGGTTTTGTTCAGAAAAATTTGGTCACTGAACACTAAACATCATAATACCCAGGTTTATTAGCCAAAGCACTGACATATCATAGGGAGAAAATATACTTTTGTTATCTATCAAAATAATGGAGTTTTCTGTCTACCATCTCAATCCTTGTTTCAAATAACAGTTCATTGTTCTTAACCTACGCTGAAGCGTACTACTTCACAGCTGCGAATTATTTATATTACTAAAATGAAAACTAGGCTCAATGAAGCAGCCTTCTTTGTAGAACTGCATAGTCCAGAGTAGCACTAGCCACGTATAACTATTTACATTTGAGTAATTTCAATAATAACCTTAAAAATTCAGTTCCTCAGTCACACTAGTCATATTTCAAGTGTTGTGCTGGATTGTGAGGCTACTGAATTAATTGCACAAATCCAACAGCACAGCACAGACAGTTCTCTGGAACTTTAATCCACACTCTCATTTCTTAACAAGGCAGAATCTAGAAAAACTGGTAAATTAACATCAGTGATATTCCAAGAGTTCCCCCACCCCCATTCAAGATGGCTCCTATGGAGCCAAGCTCAAGATTCAAGATCAGAGTTATTCTAATAACAATTTCAATATAGAAAAAATATAGAAATTAAACTGTTTGCCTGGCATAATGACAATAATTAAATTATTTTGTTTAAATCATGTAAAAATAAAAGCAGTCTAATAGTTATACACTATTATTTTGATACTGTATAAACTTTTAGTTTCAAGCTCAGGGATTAACTATGTAAAAAATTAACAACAAAGTAGAAACTACACAAGAAAATTGAGTTACTAAAATACAGACCAATTAGCTAGATGTAGAGCTTTAGAATATGTAATGCATTGTCTTAGCGCTTAAGATTACTATGTACAATGACTTTCTGGTTTGAAAGCAAAAATATTCTAATAAACAAAATTAATTTTTAAGAGGACTATGGTCTCCAAATTCAGAATTAAATAGAAACAATTAAGTACCAAAATGACAAAAATGTGATTAGGAACTGACCTAGTGATATTTAGTTTTCCCCGAATGCAGAATACTCCAGCAGCATCTGAGTCTAAACGAAACACTTCAAATTCTAGTTCATCACCTACGTTTACCTCCAGGGTCTGCCACTGCTCAGCTGGCATCTGCTCAGGTTTGGGGATGGAGGCATTGAAACACCCGTGTACTAAACAGCCAATGTGGCTGGAAGACACTTTATTAACTGTACCCTGGGAAGGAAAAAGAAGGGTATGACATCAAGAAGAGATCCAAAGAGTTAACAGGTAAATCAAACTTGACAAGCTTCGAACTCATCTTCAAAGAGAAAACATCAAAATAATGGTATAATTTAATATGGAAAAAAGTTCCTCTCAAAACTTACCACATATTAAACTAAAGCAGTTTTAGAACACTGTAGAGATTTTAGAAAGCTCAAACTTGAACTTGATTAAATAAGTACATGCATATCAATACCCCACCCCCTGCCCCACCATGCCCAAACCCCCTTAGCTCCCACCACAGTATTCCATGGGGAATAGAGGACTCTATAACCATACTGAAACCAAGCAGAAATTACACTTTGATATGAGCTACATGTGAAAGACCTCAAGGAAGGATGCCTATGCTTTTATCACCAAGATCCACACTGTATTTCTATAAACAGTATTAATTTCAAAGTTTAAAGAGCATTCGTTAATGATTGAGAGTAGCATGACGTAAGCAGTCCTATCAGAAGACAGCTTACACTTTATGTGTAAATCTTTAGCACAGTTGTTGGACTAAATTACAACAACACTAGAAGCTTTAAAGTTAAAATCAAAGTATGTGCTATAGAATTTTAAGCTAGAAATGAAAATTTCCCAAAACCTTGGTTTTCTATTCTTCCCCTAGGAATGAACATCGATAAGATATATGAATAAAAAACTAAACAATATTTTTTAAAATCATATATTTTGAATTATAGATTTATAAATAATAAGAACACATATACAATGCTGTTTAATGTGAGCAACTCCTTATACAAATGATAGAGTAAAACTTCCGTTTCAGTCATCAGGAGACTGGTGTCCACAAAGATACCTTTTACATGATAAGGACAAACTGTGGTACATCTGTAAATTGGAATTATTCAGAAATAAAAAGAAATGAGCTATCAAGCCATGAAAAGGTATGGTGGAATCTTAAATGCATAAATGGTAAGTGAAAGAAGCCATCCAGAAAAGGCTACATATTATATGATTCCAACTACATGACATCCTGACAAAGGCAAAACTAAGGAGACAGTAAAAAGATTAGTGCAGGGTTTCGGAGGGAGGGAGGGAGAACAGGAGGGCAGGAGGAGTGAATAGGCGGGACATAGAGGATTTTTAGGGCAGTGACCAATTATTCTATGGAATAATATAATAGTGGATATATGTCATTATACAATTGTCCAAACCCACAGAATATACAACACAAAGAGTGAACTCTAATGTAAAGTACAGAATGTGTTTAATAATAATGAATCAATATTGGCTCAACAATTGTAACTAATGTACCCAACTAACACATGTCAATAATAGAAGAAACTGTGTTTGTTCCATTTGTCTATATGTCTAAAACTGCTATAAAAATTCAAGTCCACCAATTAAAAAATATTCAATAGGAGAATAAAAGTCTTTTTAGTATACTGGTCTGGAGTAACTAAATAGCTAATGGACAAGAAAATGGATCTCAAGGGTCTACCTCACACTACACAAAAAATTAAAGCTTGATCACAGACCTAAATGAAAAAGCTAAAAACTACAAAAATTATAGAAGCCTCTAGAAGAATATCTTCAGAATGCAGAAGTAGGCAAGTTTGTTAGACAGGATCCCAAAATCAACAACCATAACAGTATACTATGAGAAACCACCATATGCCCACGAGTAAAATAATGTTGGCACCAAATGTTGGCAAAGATGCAGAGCAAGTGCTGAATAGGAAATTAGCCTACCAGTAGTTTTGATAAAGTTAAACACCCATCTATCTAATCCTGTGACCCAGCAATACTGCTTCTAGTTTTTTACCTAGAAGAAATGAAAATGTATATTCACAACAGCTTTATTCTAATAGTTCTGACTGAAAACTAACCCAAATGTCCACCAATGAAGATAGATAATCAAACTGTGATATATTCATATAACTGAATACCACGAACCATAAAAAAGAACAAACTACAATACACTCAACTGCACGAATGAAATCCATGTTGAGCCAAAGAGGCTATTTTAGAGTGTATAATGAAAAACTCCATTAATGTGGAATTATAGAACAAGCAAAACTAATTTATAATCAGTGAAATCACAACAGTGGTTATACCTAGGATAGAAAGGATTGACCAGGAAAGGGCATGAGGGTCATTTCAAAGGACACACAATGGTTAATGCATTTGTCAAAATTAATTGAATTGAACATCATGATCTGTATATTGTATTGTATGTAAATTATCTCATACTATTAAAAATAAATAAGAGTTGGAAAAAACTGACTGCTCAACTGTATTTAAGGACTGGATCTTGTCGAGGATAGAGTAAAAGGGATCATTTTACTTGTCATTTTATACTTTCTTTACAATTAGAATTTTATTTCCATGGACATGTTTATTTACATTTGTGATAATTTACACAAAATAGATGACAATTAAGTTTGGGAATCTTTAAGTACAAATCTACTGCCAACTTGAATAGTATGGAGGCTGGTTGTAGGATTTCAGTTTGGCAGTCCAAGTATACTATTTCTTCCTGTTTAATTGATATTGAAAATAACATTTTAAATTAGAAATGCCATGTGGATTTTATCATAGTGAAATCTAACCTATATTTTTATTAACAGTATTAAGACTTAGTTATTATCATCAGGTTAAACAATTCCTATAAATTTTTTTAGGTAAGAAAAAAATTATATACATACACATGAGTATTTAGACACATATGAACATATACACACATAGAACTGCAAGTGAAGAGGATAAAGGGATACATTTCAGAAGACTCCACATCAATTTCTGCATTTCCAGCTTCTCTTGAAAAACTAAAAAGGAATTCCCCACAGGTCCTTCATCTCATGGCATAGTCTGAGTTCCCTCATTGTGCCCCATCCTTAATTCCTGTTTGTTTGTTAATCCTCACCTGAGCATTATTTTTCCATTGATTTTTAGATAGAGTGGAAGGGAGGGAAGGAGGGAGGGAGGGAGGGAGGGAGAGAAACATCAGTGTGAGAGAGACACATCAATTGGATGCCTCCCCCATGACTCTGACCAGGGCTGGGGACTGAACATGCAACACAGGTATGTGCCCTTGACCAGGAATCAAACCCATGACTTTTTGGTCCAAGGGCCGATACTCTAACCGCTGGGACCATCCAGCCAAGACTCTTCATTCATTTTCATTACGTGCCTGGTCCCATGACCATTTGAATTTGCAACTTCTGTCTTACATACTACTATGGTTTGAATCTTTTATAAAGAAACTATATTTATGTATAATTGAGAAATTTTCAAATAGTAATAAAAATTGACTTTAAACCTTAAGATCACTCTGGTGTTCTATGAAGAAGAGAATAAATTGGATGTACACACACTATACATGTACTTGAGTTTTAGGATGATAACATTTTAAAACTTACATAGGTTGAACTGATGGCAATTAGCTTCCTTTTACCTTTTAAAATAGTTTTTAGTAAACAACAATAACAGATCCAAGCTGTATAGTCTTTTAAGTTTCCAAATTACATAATAATATAACTATACAAAGAAAACTAGAAAAAAGAGATGTACATACCATAAGCTTTTGCCCTGGTTCAGGGCAGAAAATAATGAAATCTGCTTCAATATTGAGATGAATGTGTCCTTGATCATCATAAATATCTCCCAGTTCACCCACGACTTTGATGTTATCATACGCAATGGGAACACCTAAAAGGCTGTTTAAAAAGAAAGAAAAATGTTATTCTTTATTCTCTTTTAAACTAGGCATTGTCATACTGATTAGATAGATAATTCTGAGTCCAAAAAGTTTATCTCCCAAATATAACCACCCAAGCCAAAAACACTATATGGTTAATCTGTAATAATTTCAGTAGTCCAATTTCACAAGGTTTCCAATATACTGGCTAAGTTAAAAATTATTATTTAAAATAGCTACCTAATAATGTCCAATTATGCATCAGCAAAGAGTTGATTCTTCTATTTGCTACTCGTTTGGATTCCTGTCATATTAGAATGAGAGAGAAAAAAAGGACCAGGCAAGAAAAACGTCTTGTGTATTTTTGAGTATGACTGAATCAAGGCGATTTTGGTATTATCCAGCATTATCGAATTTCTGTACTAGATAGCATACAGCAAGAGAAATATTAGGGTTAAAGCTGAAGTCCCTGAATATTAAAACCAGTTACTTAATAGAGAAAAATCCCAACTGCAACTCTTGCTAGTAAGTGGAAATGCTAAGAAATACAACTATATTATTTATGGAGAATGACTGTGACCTTTTAATCTACATGTTTGACAGTCAGGAATGAGGGGGCGACTACTATTGCAAAATGTCATTTCCAGGTTCCTAAGCAATGATAACTACTAGAGAGGCAGACCTGTGGCTTCCACCACACTCACTACTTGTTCCAGAAAACGGTCCTGACTCCCCACACAGGGCTGAAACCCATCACGCCTCTACTCCTACAGGACTGCGCCATCACTGTTCTTAATTTCACTTTACTGACTCTATCTGTACATATGTTTAGATTCCACATAAGACCCCTTGAGAGTAGAGACCATTTTTATTGAACTCAATTAATATCCTAAAATAATTCACATATAATTAGAGAAAGAAGTAAAACAACCAGGAGCCACTGGAAAGGAATTTTAATAAGTACTAAATTAGGAAAAACTTAAAACTCAGAGATGTACTCTGGAAAGCACTCTTGTGAGTGTGGCTTAATTTCTGCATGTGGCTTTCCTAAGCAGGACCCACACCATCACTAAAACAATATGAGGGGCACAGAAAACCAGTTAGAGAGTGGGGGTGGAGAGGAGGGGGGGTAGCTGCCATATTAGACAGAAAAACAAAATAAGGACTTCGAGTCTCCTAATCATTGATTTGAGAGTGAGTCTCAAGTGGGGGAACACTGCTGTCCCCTAGGGGGCATCTCCCCAGATGAGGTACTCATTAGGGTTGTCACAACCTCTGGCCAAGGCCAGGGATACGAGACATTTTGCCATGCGCAGGACAGTCCTGTACGACGAAGAAATGTCTCTAGCTCTACATCACTTCTGAATGATGGGATAAACATTTATAAATAGTTAGGCACAGAATCTAACTTAAAAATAACTCAATAGTCATTTCTGCATGGTTTTTATATGTATTAAAAATTCCAAGAATGTAGTTGGATAGGTTCACGCTTAGACAGTTTTGTGTGGAATTGTACTGAGCGTTTCCCATTATTTCAGAAAAGCATTACACCACTAGAGACACTGCGTTTGTGAGGTGTCATTCAAAATCCCTGCATCAATGTACATCTGTAGCTGACACATTCACAGTGACTCAAGGTATAGGTGTGGGAGGCATCTAACTACTTCAGTCTTCCCAGGTAATCATGCTGAGCATTACCACACTGAAATACATTTTACTGTTCTGTATTAGAGCAATGTGTATATATATATATATATATATATATATATACACACACACACACACATATATATATATTTGCAATTGTGTAGGTAGGTTTTATTATCTTTTAATTTTTATTTCATCACAGTAAAGAGTGTTTTCATTTCATTAAAGGTAGTACTGCAAACTATTACAAGAGGGAGGCTATTGGGTTCTGTAGGATTCAGAACTGTTGATTAGGGAATGTGACCAGAGAGCTGAAGCCCCCAAAAATTCTTGCAAATCCATCCAACCTTTGGGAAAGCAACTCACAGCATGAGTCTTGCTAAAAGTCATCAGATATACAATAACACCTTAACCATGTTTATCTTCTGCTCTTTTACTTCTGTTTTCTGATACCATCCTAAGTAGGTTACAGGTCACGGTGGCAGCCTCACTTTAGACAGCTTTACAACAGTTACATCAAGTTTGAGGGATGCTTAGATTGCACATTTAAGGCTTCTACAAAACTAGTGGGAGGGAACATATTTGCCACGTTCAAATAACTCAAGAGCTGTCATATACAAATAAGATTTTTTTCTTAATGGGTTCTCAAAGATATAACTTAGAAATTATAATGTGATTTTAGAAAACTACATTCTCTAAGCAGATTTTTCAAAATTGATATGGGTTAGATTTAAAAAATTCAGTCACTGGGAAAAAAGGGTGGGAAGTCTGTCAAACAGATGCTGTTGAGATAACTTGGACATGAATGAGCTCTTCTGGATTCCCCCCTCTTCCTCATTTGTTAAACAGAGAGAAGTCTTCTCGCTTCCAAGGGATGGTCCCAGTCTGGAAACAACTACACGCGATACATGGTTGACTGATATGAATTCCTACTAGTTTCAATGTTCTGTCCCTCATTAGTAACACACAGTTCAGAGTGGGGTGTCTGACTTGCACTGAATACACTGGGGTCTTTAGCACATCCCACAAGTAAGGTGTGTGTGTGTGTGTGTGTGGGGGGGGGTCCAGATCTGTTCAGAATGCAACCTGCTCTATAAACTGAATTGGCCAGTGTCCAATTCATTTACAGAAATTATCATTCAGTCCGTTCCTAGTCTCTCTGGTGGAATGGCTCCTATTCGAGACACTTTGGGTGACCTGCCCTAGCCTTTCAAGTGGAAGCATTTAATTGATTATAGAAAGTTGTAAAATACACTGAACAGTTGCTTTTGTTTCCACATTTTATGTCCACCTTGCATATCCATCCTCTCTGAACTGGTCTCCTGTCTACTGCATCACCCTCCTTAAACCATTATCTAATACTACCAAACCATAACCAAACTTGCAGTTTAGTTTCTCTTCTTTTTTTTAATCCTCACTGGAGGATTTTTTTTCTATTTCTCTTCTGATAAAGTGGGGGGAGGGGGGAGGGGAGGAGAGAGGAATGAACCTGGCAAAGGCAAGAAAGAAGAGCATAATGGCCATCCTCTCCAGGTTGTCCCCCACCCTGTCTTTAACCCATTGCCCTTTTCCCAACTGTACCCATCGTCTTTCCCAACATAAATCTTACTCCAGTTATTTAGTACTTACAGTTCTCTGGTTAAAGCATTCTACTTCACATCTACCATCCATTTGTTTATGCCACTAGTTTTCCCTGGAATGCTACCACGTCAAAGAATCCGCCTCCTAAACTGTTCTCAAAGGTCCTAAGATCAAATTTACCACCACTTCTCTTACTATAAATTTAGGTTTCTGGCAAATTTTAACACTTCATTGCATTTGGCTTACATGTATATCTATCTCTACTAGAGTTCAAAGTTCCTTAAAGCACATATCTTGTTTTTCTTTGTTTTTACACCCCAATTCCCTAGCATACAAAAGAGACACAAGTGTGTGTTGGTGCTTGGAGAAAGCTGTATATTCTCTCTGTTTGAGTCTTAACCTGTGTAGGATTCAGGATTCCTTGAGAATGTGGCGAAAGGTTTAGATACGTTGATCAAGAAAATTAACATAGGAAATTCCTGCATTTTTCAAGGGCTCATGAAATTCCTGAAGGGTAACAAGCAATCGCTAGAGAATCCACTCACCCTAGTTCGAGCCCCTGCCTTTGAGCCAAAGCAGTCTAGACGAGCATTAAGGTACATCTATGTACCCTCTACCCTAGCAACTCAAGAGTTTAAGTTACACCTGAATACCTTAATTCAAATGCACCATAAGCCCCACCCCATCCCCAAGAGCAACAGGCGGGCCAGTTAGACTAAAGAAACTGCTCTTAAAAACAAAACAAACAGTATTTCTCTATCCCGAACAGGTTCAAGAAATGAGGAAAGTACCAGTGGGGCCATGACAACAAAACCACCCTTCAGGGTTTACAAATAAAAACTGTACTAAGGCTTCCATTTGTTACAGAATGAGAGAGAATCAACTGAAGTACCGCAGTCCCACCTCCCAGGTCCAGAGAGAAAACATACAGAACTGGGTCTAACCCGGCTCCAAACCCCTGTTCTATTCTTGCCCCTACACCCTGGCTTCTGGAGCGAGCGTCTCCTAGCCCTCCGCCAACACAAGTCGCGCCACCTTCACGTGTTTTTGTTTTTGATTGATTTTAGAGAGAGAGGAAGGGAGAGGGAGAGAGAGATGGAAACACGGATGACACAGAACATAGATTGGCCGACACCTGCATGCTCCCCACTGGGGATCGGGCCCACAACCTGGGCATGTGCCCTGACCCAGAATCGAACCAGCGACCTGTTGGTGCATGGGTCAGCGCTCAACCACTGAGCACACCAGCCGGATTCACGGGGACCCCGTACGGACCCTGACCGGGGGCACCGGCCTTCCCACACCAGCCGCCGGGGCTAAACTTCTCCCACCCGCGGACCCCGCCGCGCAGGAAGAGGCTGAGAGACCTTTCGGAATAGCGCAGGAGCTCTGCATCCAGCTGCTCTCGGATGCCGCTGCGTTTCCTGTTAAGGTAGCGCGGCGACAGGGCGATGTGCCTGCGGTGCGGCCCGGCCACCAGGCAGGAGTAGCGGCTGTTCAGCAGCGCGCAAGCGGCGGCGTAGGTCGGCAGCTCCAGGCAGGGCAGGACGCCGGCGGCTCCCACCACCGGGCCCTCAGAGGCCGCCTTGGACCGCGGAGGCTCCGCACACCCTGCGGCCATGCTGCTCGTCGAGTTTCCCACGGCGCGCGCCACTGACGCAAGCACAACCGCCTCTTTCGGGCGCCGGTTTACGCGTCACCCTCCAGCTGCCACGCCCCTTGTAAATGTTTCTTCTGGCGCTGCATTACCCAGTTCTTACCAGCAGGGGGCAACCGCTTTTTGTCCCTTGGACAACTCTGGGAACTCCGTATTGAGCGTGCTGGAAGGCCAACCACCACCACGTTTCCTAAGGGCTAGCAAACCCGTGTTTTCGCTAACATTCTCTTTGGATTTAGTAGGTCGATGTAATAGGAGTTAACACTTTGGTCATTGCCAGATGGCTTGGCAGATTTTACAAGTTTTTGGAATACATTTTCTGCGGGGAAACAAATCCTGAAAAGTAGCCTAGATGCCTCAGATGAAACAGTCAGGAAAGGAGCCCATCTCTCTCTCCAGGCCATCTTCTCTCCTTCCGGAATTGTTAACTCAGGAAACGGTGCGGCTGGCTTTTCAAATGGCTCAGTCCAGCTGTCATCCCTTGGGGTCTCTGTTGTTCCCCCAAACATCAGATCTGGCCCAAGGCCCGTGGAGACGAAGCCAAAACATCACTCTCTTCGGACACTCCTCTCCATCCTCGCTTCTAAACCTACAGAACTGCATGTGGAAGCTTAGCCTAATGGTCAAGAGGGCTCTTTGGAGTAGCCAGATTTTCTCTGAGACACAGATACAACCATGAATTTCCCTGTTTTAAGCCCCACTTAGGTGCCCCATTTTCTTCCTAGTACAAACACCTTAAGTTTGTATTATATGGCCCCTAAGTTACAGGGCCATTATATAATCTGTCCCCAGCAGTTTCATTTATCACACTGTACTTTATGTGCTAGCCACCACCACCCATCCTCCTAGATGCTGGTTAGTGGTAATAAACTCCTTCAGCCTTTTTTTTGTCTGGAAAGCTCTTTATTTCACCTTCAATTTTGAATGATAGCCGTGCTGGATAGAGTAGTCTTGGATTCAGTCCCCTTCTTTTCATTACTTTGTATATGTCATGCCAATCCCTTCTGGTCTGAGTGTTTCTATTGAGGAATCAGTTGATAATCTAATGGGGACTCCCTTGTAGGTAACTTTCTGTCTCTCACTTGCTGCCTTTAAGATTCTTTGTCTTTAATGTTTGCCATTTTAATTATGATGTGTCTAGCTGTGGGTCTATTTAGGTTCATCTTGAATGGGACTCTGTGTTTCCAGCACTATTTACAATAGCTAAGATCTGCAAACAGCAGTAGATGAGTGGTTAAAAAAGCTGTGGTACATTTACACAATGGAATACTATGGAGCTATAAAAAAGAAAGAGCTCTTACACTTTGAGACAGCATGAAGGGAACTGGAGAGCATTATGCTAAGCAAAATAAGCCAATCAGAGAAAGACGAGTATCTAACAATGTCACTTATTTGTGAAATATAATGAACAAAATAAGCTGATGAACAAAATAGACCCAGAGACATAGAAGTAGGAAACAGACTGACAAACCTCAGTCAGGGGGTGGGGGGATAAACCAAAGAACTTATATGCATGTATGCACAACCAGTGGTCACAGACCACAGTGTGGTGAAGACAGGGGGATGGGGCGCAGGAGGGGGAGGAGGGTGTCAATGGGGGGAAAAGGGAGGAAATCTGTAATACTTACAGCAATAAAGATAAAGGAAAAAGAATTGGGTAGTTCCCTATCTTTGTAAATTATCGCCATCAAGTACTCATTTTATGTCAATTTTATGTTAATTGCCTTTTTGCCAGTTCCTTCATAAGACTCCAAGATCTTTAAGGCAGGGGACAAAAACAAACAAACCCCAAACAAAACAACAACAAAAATGTATCTTAAATGGATAAGTGAGTGAAAGAAACGGGTGAAGAGGTCACAGTCTAAGTGAGGAAATAGAAACTAAACTGAACATAAGTATGTACTGCAGATTACACTGTGTAAGTGCCGAGAGAGCTGTACAGCAAAGGGCAATGGGTGGTGTGAGAGCTAACATGCTTGCTGCCTCCCACAGCTGCTGTAAAAAGCCTCGGACCTCTCTAAACCTGTTTCCACACTTGTAAAATTGGGACAATGATGTTAGTGGCAATGTGGGTTTTCAGTTCTTGACTTATTGCTGGAAAGATCTCACAACATGAGTCCAGGTGATTTTGAGGGTATGTTTATTAAAACTGGGACCAGTGAAACGGAGGAAGAGCTTAAGATAGAAGAGGCAAGATCGTAGCAAGAGGAGTGAGCCACGATGAAGCTGCCTCAGCCCTCTAGAAAGTGAGGAAGAGCGAGCCTAGGCATGGACGGCTTGGCCTTTTAAAAAGAAAGCACACAGGCAGAAGTGAGCCATGTGGGCTGCATGGACTCGGGGAATACTTATGAATGCAAAAGAAGAGCCCTTGGAGAAAGAAAGCAAAAACATATGCCTTAGGAAAGAAGGTTGCGGGGGAAGGCACAAGGTGGTCCAGAGAGAGAGAGAGAGAGAGAGAGAGAGAGAGAGAGAGAGAGCTGGAACTTGGTCAATTGCTTTAAGGGTTTTTATCTGTTTTCTAAAGGCAGGAACTTTAGGAGAGGTCTCAGGAGGATCTCAACAGAACATGCAGCAGCTTTTCAGGTGAGTCCTTTCAGGGTCATGGCCTCTACTGATTGGTCGGCACCGGGGTAGGGGGTCATTAGTCAGTGCATCTGGTCCTGAGGTCAGCCATGGCCTCCCTTGGTCTGGTTTTGCCACTTTTCTGGGCCTGGAGCTGAAACTCAGCTGAAGCCTAGACACTATCTCTAGTTCAACCAAAACTCTGTCTCCGTGGTCAACAGAACTGAGGCTTTGTTCCTATGATTATTTGTTGCTGATCAGAACCTCACTGTCCTGAGGGAGTGCTCTGCAAGGGAGAAGGAGGCAGATGAGTCAGGGTGCCCGATGGGGCCAGTTTGAATCAGCCAGATGTCTCCATTTTCCCTTTCTATCACCATGGAATGTTCCTAGTTTTTTATTATCCTGCCCGAACAATACTTGCCCTGGCTGTTATAGAGATAATAAGAGGTTCAATAAGATAAGTAAAAAGCATTTTCTTTAGTATTCTGTAATTGACTTCAAATGCAGCATTAGATGATAATGGGATGAAACGTCCCAAAGCCTGATAATAAACGTTCATAAATGGGAAATGCACCAGGCTTTACCTTGATTTAGTTGCAAAGTCCTGCAACAGCCCTGTTGGAACTTTACAATCTGAGGGACTTTAAAATCCCCTGATGCCTTGAAAGCACCCCAAACCAATTAAATCTAAATCTCTCTTGCTGTCAAGATGCCTCTAGAATACCTGCAGGTTATTTGAACAAAAACAAATTGTCCAAAAGCAATTGAGCAAAACAACAACACCAAACAAACCCAAGCTGGACATCAGAATTATTCAGTCCAAACAAAACTTACCTGAAATAGATTCCCCCAGTAATGATGTTCTGCAAATTTTAAATATGGAGTCGCTTCGTAACTGTTTCTGTGTTCGTAAGCAATTTAGAGATTTGCTTGTTTGATTTTCAAAACCGTTTTTTAGTGTTTTAAATTCCGGCCTGACTGCTAGCTACTATGCACACTCTGCATGGTTTGGAAGGGAAAAGGTGATTCAACCTACTTGGAAATATTCACCATTAGGAACTTACTTTTCCAAGTTAACAGTTCCCACCTATCGGCCAGGGAAGAAGAAGGCAGAAGCGGTATGAGACCCCACCTACCCATCTCCCATTTCACTTCCATCACTGCCATCTTAGACAACTTAGCCTGCTGGGTTTTTTTGTTGTTGTTGTTGTTTTTAATTTATATTTATTGTTGCAAGTATTGCAGGTGTTCCCCCTCTTGCCCCCTTCGGCCCCCTCCTCCCCGCTGCCCCACCCCCTGCCTTCCCCACACTACTGGCTGTGTCCACTGGTTATTCATATATGCATAGTGCAGAGGTATGAAGCCACGGAGAAGTTGTGAGGATCAGAGAAATAAGGACAGTGAAATAGTGACAGTCACAAAGCACAGTGACTGGACAATATTAAGTAGTCAATAGTATATCTCATTTTGAGTCCATGATCAACAGTCATTTCAGTTATAATATGCTTGATTCAGTCTAATTAAAACTGTAAAGCGCCCTGGCCAGTTTGGTTCAGTGGTTGGAGCATCGGCCTGCGGTCCAGAGAGACCCGGGTTCGGTTCTCGCTAAGGGCACGTACCTCAGTTGCAGTTTGTCCCCGGCCCTGGTTGGTCGTGCGGGTGGCAGCCACTCGATGTGTCCCTTTCACATTGATGTTTCTCTCTCTTTCTCTTCCTCTCTCTCCCTCTATCTGAACAAAAAAATGAAAAATGTTCTCAGGTGAGGATTAAAAAAAAAAAAAACAACTGTAAAGCTGAGCTGGGGAGCAGGAACACATGATAAAGAGCAGGTGGAGCCGTGGACGTCAGAGGAAAGTTTTGGATAACCCCGTGAATAAAAACTACAGGATGCCTCGGCCCCATCTCTGGGAATGATTTTTTGTTTTGTTTTGGTGTCATTAGCATGATTAATTTCAGCTCCTCTTCAATCTACTGTTATTATAAGCAATCTACATGCATAAACATTTGATTCAGCTTAAAACAAAGATTTCAATATAGAATCATCTTAAAATATTTTTAAATAAAATTCACTATATATATGCAGTAGGTATATTGAGATACAAGTTTGCAATTTTATTTTTCAGTAGGGAGAATTAAAATAGGTTCAACACTGCCTGGCCGGTGTGTCTCAGTGGATTGAGCATCGTCCCATGGACTGAGTGAGGTGTCCCGGTTAGATTCCCAGTCAGGTCAGGACACATGCCAGGTTGCAGGCTCAATCCCCAGTAGGGGACATGCAGCAGGCAGCCCATCAATGTTTCTCTCTCACATGGATGTTTCTATCTCTCTCTTTGTTCCTCTCTCTAAAAACAAGTCATTAAAAGCATATTCAAAACATAAAATAAAATAAATTAGATTCAACACAAACGGGTTGTTTGAAATAAATTG